AGGAGAATCACTTGAAACCAGGAGGTGGAGGTTGTGGTGAGCTGAGATCATCCAGCCTGGGCAACAGAGAAAGACTCTTTCTCTCCAAAAAATATGTGCATATTCCCCAGGAGACATAAAAAGGTTCACAGAAGCAAAAATTAGGACAATACAAATGTTCACCATCAGAATGATAAATGAATCATGGTCCTTCTAACACAATGGAATACTATAGAGCAGCAAAAATAACTGACCCAAGCTACAATGTGGGAACATGACTGAATCTCAAGAGCCGGATAAGCAAGGGCACTATATTAGTCTGTTCTCACACTATCATAAAGAACTGCCCGAGACGAGGTAATTTATAAAGGAAAGAGGTTTAATTGACTCACAGTTCCACACGTCTCGGGAAGCCTCAGGAAACTTACAGTCATGATGGAAAGCAAAGGGGAAGCAAGGCACCTTTTTCACTAGGCGGCAGGAGGGAGAATGCACACAGAAGAAACTACCAAATACATAAAACCATCAGATCAGCCGAGTACAGTGGCTCATGCCTGTATTCCCAGCACTTTGGGAGGCGGAGGCGGGCGGATCACAAGGTCAGGAGATGGAGACCATCCTGGCTAACACGGTGAAACCTTGTCTCTACTAAAAATACAAAATATTAGCCAAGCATGGTGGCACACACCTGTAGTCACAGCCACTCGGGAGGCTGAGGCAGGAGAACCTCTTGAACATGGGAGGCAGAGGTTGCAGTGAGCTGAGATTGCGCCACTGCACTCCAGCCTGGGCAATAGAGCGAGACTCTGTCTCAAAAATCAATAAATAAGAAATAAACAAAAAAATAATATTAACTATTATCTTTATCATTTTCTTTCTAAGTCATGAAATTCCTCAGTTTTGGGTGTTTAAACATTCACTTTTTTTTTTTTTTTTGAGACAGAGTGTCACTGTGTCTCCCAGGCTGGAGTGCAGCAGCGCCATCTCAGCTCACTGTAACCTCCGCCTCCCAGGTTTAAGCAATTGTCTGTCTCAGTCTCCCCAGGAGCTAGGATTACAGGCACCTGCTACCACGCCTGGCTAATTTTTTTGTATTTTTAGTAGAGACAGGGTTTTCTCATCTTGGCCAGGCTGGTCTTGAACTCCTGACCTTGTGATCCACCCGCCTCAGCCTCCCAAAGTGCTGGGATTACAGGCATGAGCCACTGCACCTGGTCAACATTCACTTTTTTAATAAAATGATGGTGACAATAGACGGTGGTTGTTTTTCAATTATCCTTTCTGGACAAAAATTAAAATGGACCACCCTATTATTCACTTTCTAGATTTTTGGATTTTATCAGTCTATGAAATCTAAACAACTAGGTCACCCTAGACCAAATGAAACCCTGGGTCCCTTTTACTTCTAACTTGGCCCTGAGATACACAGGAGCAGCCGCACCCACGCCATGGTGCAGACCATGAGTATGCCACTGCACTCCAGCCTGGGTGGCAGAGCAAGAGCCCATCTCTAAAAACTTAATTGGTCATGGCCAGGTCCGGTGGCTCACGCCTGTAATCCCAACACTTTCAGAGGCCAAGGCAGAAGCATCACTTTGGCCCAGGAGTTCCACACCAGTGTGGACAACATAGGGAGACCCCATCTCAAAAAAAAAAAATCAGCTGGGTGTGGTGGCCAACAACTGTGGTGCTATTGCTCTCCAGTCTGGGCAACAGAGCGAGACACTGTCTCAAAAATAAATACAATTTAAAATGTAAAAATTACATAAATTTTAAAATGATATGACAAAGATCAGCAAAACTTCAATTAAAAAAAAAAAGGTCAGGCACGGTGACTCATGCCTGTAATCCCAGGGCGGATCACCTGAGGTCATGAGTTCCAGACAGGCCTGGCCAACATAGTGAAACACCATCTCTACTAAAAAATACAAAAGCCTGTAATCCCAGCATGTTGGGAGGCCAAGGCGGGTGAATCACCTAAGGTCAAGAGTTTGAGACCAGCCTGGCCAACATTGTGAAACCCTGTCTCTATCAAAAAAAAATACAAAAATTAGCCAGGCATGGTAGCACATGCCTATAATCCCAGCTACTCAGGAGGCTGAGGCAGGAGAACAGTTTGAACCTGGAAGGCAGAGGTTGCGGTGAGCTGAGATCCCGCCATTACACTCCAGCCTGGGCAACAGAGCAGAACTGCATCTCAAAAATACAAAAAAATTAGCTGGGTGTGGTGGCAGGTGCTTGTAATCCCAGCTATTCAGGAGACTGAGGCAGCAGAATCACTTGAACCCAGGGGGTCCTGGAGGTTTCAGTGAGCTGAGATCACGCCACTGCACTCCAGCCTGGGGGACAAGAGCAATACTCTGTCTCAAAAAACAAACACCCAAAAAACAACACCTGACCTCACACCAGTAATCTCAGCACTTTGGGAGGCCGAATTAGGTGGATCACCTAAGGTCGGGAGTTCGAGACCAGCTTGGTCAACATGGCAAAACCCTTTCTATATTAAAAATACGCCGGGCGCGGTGGCTCACGCTTGTAATCCCAGCACTTTGGGAGGCCGAGGCGGGTGGATCATGAGGTCAAGAGATCGAGACCATCCTGGTCAACATGGTGAAACCCCGCCTCTACTAAAAATACAAAAATTAGCTGGGCATGGTGGCGCATGCCTGTAGTCCCAGCTACTCGGGAGGCTGAGGCAGGAGAATTGCTTGAGCCCAGGAGGTGGAGGTTGCGGTGAGCCGAGATTGCGCCATTGCACTCCAGCCTGGGTAACAAGAGCGAAACTCTGTCTCAAAAAAAAAAAAAAAAAAAAAAATACAAAAATTAGCTGGGTGTGGTGACACACACCTGTAATTCCAGCTACTTGGGAGGCTGAGACACAGGAATTGCTTGAACCTGGGGAAGAGGAGGTTGCAGTGAACTGAGATCACACCACTGCACTCCAGCCTGGGTGACAGAGTAAGACTATTAAGAAAAAAAAAAAAGACGCCTGCTACTGAGCCAGTTCTGGTATCTGAGACTAAGCTAATACAGGTATTAAAACAGCAAAAATACGTATCTTCAACTTGGTAGTTTCTCCATAGAGTTACCATAAAACCAGCAATCCAAGAGATCTCAAAACATGTGTGCATGCCAAAAACTTGTACAGGAATGTTCAGAGCAGCATTATTCCTCTTTTTTTGAGATGCAGTCTCACTCTGTTGCCCAGGCTGGAGAGTGCAGTGGCAGGATTTCAGTTCACCTCAACCTCCACCTCCCAGGTTCAAGCGATTCTCATGCCTCAGCCTCCAGAGTAGCTGGGACTACAGCAATACCTGGCTAATTTTTGTATTTTTAGAGACTGGGTTTCGCCATATTGTCCAGGCTGGTCTCAAACTCCTGACCTCAGGTGATCCACCCGCCTCAGCCTCCCAAAGTGTTGAGATTACAGGCACAGCATTATTCTTAATAGCTAAGGAGTGAAAACAACATGAATGTCCATCAACTGCCTGATATACAAAGTGTTAAATCCATATAATGGAATATTATTCAGCCACAAAAAGGAACAAAGTACTGATGTAGGCCACAACAGGAGTAAATTTTGAAAGCACTGTGGTGAGTGAAAGAAGCCATATAGAAAAGGCCACATGTTGTGTGACTCCATTAGTATGAAATGCCCTGAATATGCAAATCTATAAATACAGAAAGTAAATTGGTGACTGCCAGGGCCTGTGGGAGTGGAGAATGAGGAGTGACTGCTAATGGGTATGGAATTTCTTTCTGGGATGATGAAAATATTCTGGAATGCCAATGGTTACACATACACTAAAAATCACTGAATTGTACACTTTAAAGCAGTGGATTTTATGGCAGGTCGATGGCTCAATGAAACTGTTAATGACACATTAAATTTCTGAAACATTTATTGTTTACGTGTTTCCAGACAACTATTTCTCCCTCTGCACTACTAGTCTTCCACACAATTAAAAAAAAAAAAAAAAAGAACAAACACACAACAAAACCTAGCCAGATCTTGAGGACAGCAATATTCCTGGGTCTCCAAGATCATGCCCCATCCCTGCCCCGTGCTTTGTTTCATGTTAACAAATAAAGCCGGGCTGGACTAGGAAGTAGCTATTGCTACCTTAGAAACACTGGACAGTCACTAGTTTAAACTGGGGGTGTGGGGGATGGAAAAGAAGTCACTGTCCCATACCTTCCTACTGGGCCACGCTTCCTCTCTCTATAAAAACATTTGAAGGCAGACAACGCATCCTAACACTGGAAAACTTTTGGTTAACAGACATTCACGCTGGGAAGGTCCGTGAGGGTGGAGGGACTTGGGGTGGGCTGACAGGGAGAAGACCCAGACCAGCAGACTGACCTCCTCCTCCCAGGCTTTCCTGGGAGAAGTTGAAGTTGACAGCGTGCTTATCCTGAGCAACGCCTGACCCCGCCCAGCTAGGTCGGAGGCACTTTGCATCCAGGAGACAGGAGGGAAAGGGCTAGTGGAGAAGCCTGGGATCGCAGGGCGGGGAAAGCGCCGGGGACGTGGGCTGGGCGGGCCCCCAGGCCACAGCCGCGTGTCCCAGACTCCGCAGGCTCCAGGGGGCGTAGCCAGGCCCAGGGTCTGGGGCTCCGGCGCAGCGGACGGCCCCGGAGGGGAAGCCAGGCGGAGACAGCTCCGACGCGCACAGGGGAAGGGGACCCCGCCGCGGGCTCGCAGAGCAGAGCCTGCCTGGGCGGCAGGTGTGGGCCGGGTCCCGGACAGGTGTCCGCCGGGTCTTCAGTGGGTGTGGACACGGCCTTAGACAGGTGTAAGCAGGGCGCCAACAGGGACGAAGGCGCCTCGAGCAGGCGCACGCTGAACCCCGGTCACGGTCAGACAGCGGACCCTGACAGGTGTGGCGGGCTCGGCCCGGACAGGTGAGGGCTGAGGGAGCCCCTCCGCGGGACGCGCCGACTCCACGCCGGCCGCGCAGCCCTCCCCGCAGCCGGCCCGGATTCCCTAACCGGGAGCCCCCCCCACGCTTTACACTTACACAGCCGGTGGCCCCGGGCCCGGAGCGGGAGCCCACGACCTGGTGGGCAGCGGGGCCGAGCAGCCTCTGCGGCCACTTCCCCGGCTCGGGACTGGCGCTTCCTACTGGCGGCTGAGCCGGCGCTGCTCCTGCGCGTGCGCGGAGGCCGAGCCCGGGCCTGCGATCCGCCCCGGGTTTTGCGAGACACAGGAGGGAAGCTAGGGAGGAGGAGGGAGGGAAGCGCGGAGAGGGAGGAGGAGCGGAGGTGAGAAGCTGGGACTGGGAGGGAGGGGACCGGGAATGGGAAGAGGTGGAGGGAGGGAGGAGGAAGGTGAGAAAAAGGAGGGGAGAAAGAAAGAGGGAGGAGGCGGAAGGAAAGGGAGGGAGATGGAGGGAGGAGGGATGAGAGAGGGAGGGAGGACCGGAGCAGGAGAGCGGAGACGGGGAGGAAAGATTCTGCACCTGGGGTGGCGCAGCTGGAAGGAGGCGCCAGTCCTGTCCACGTCGCTTACCAGTCCCTCAAGGCGCGCAGCTCAAATTTCACTTCCTCCGTGAAGCTCCGGGGTGGAGGCCCCGCGGAAGCCCACTGCAGATCCCCCCCGCGCGCCCCCCGGGTCCCCCACAGGGGTGCCCCCCCTTTTCAGGTTGGGTGACCGTGGCGCGCGCGGCCTGGGAGCGCCCCCAGGATCGCAGGGCCCGGGAGGCAGGTGAGGTGCGAGCCCAAGCCTGGGCCGGCTGCCCCTGGTGTGACGCGCCATCATGATCCCCAGCTGGCACCTCTGCACTCCCGACTCTCAGGGCCCCAACAATCCATCCACTTTATGAAGGGTTCCAAACAGGCTACAGTGGGTAGGCCAGCTGTCCTTAGTTCAGGGCCTAAGCGCCAAGCTTGCTAAGTGCGGGCGGAAGCCATTTAAGGATTTAAACCCCTCTGGGTTCAAAAATAAAGCTGAAGATGAGGGAGACTTACAGACTTCAAATGCCCAACACAAGAGGGATTAGCAACGGCATCCGCAGGGAGTATCCAGAACAGAGTCGCTCTGTTATGTATGTTCAATGTTCTGTGTGAACCTTTTAACATGTGCATGTATTTCTTTTTCAGTTAAAAAATCCTGGCTGGGCGCTGTGGCTTCCACCTATAATCCCAGCACTTTGGGAGGCCAAGGCGGGTGGATCACTTGAGGTTAGGAGTTCAAGATCAGCCTGGCCAACATGATGAAACCCATCTCTACCAAAAAATTAGCCGGGTGTGCTGGCTTGCACCTGTAATCCCAGCTACTTGGGAGGCTGAGACAGGAGAATCGCTTGAACCCGGGAGACAAAGGTTGCAGTGAGTCAAGATCATGCCATTGCACTCCAGCCTGGGCAACAAGAGCAAAACTCCCTCTCAAACAAACAAAAATACTAAAAAGGGTCGGGTGCAGTGGTTCACACCTGTAACCCCAGCAGTTTGGGAGGCCAAGGCTGGCAGGTCACCTGAGCTCAGGAGTTCAAGACCAGCCCGGCCAACATGGTGAAACCATGTCTCTACTAAAAATACAAAAATTAGCCAGGTGTTGTTGGTGCGTGCCTGTAATCCCAGCTACTTGGGAGGCTGAGGCAGGAGAATCATGCAGGAGAATGGCGCCATTGCATTCCGGCCCCAGCGACAGAGCAAGACTCCATCTCAAGAAAATAAAAGAGGACAGGAGTGGTTCCCTCAGCACATACAGCAGCAAGGGGAAAATGCCCTGAGCCAGCACTTTTCCTTTAAGCCAGTAGGCACTTACCCACTCAGGGTTATGAGACCAGGGCTGTTTTATTATTCATATGGTTTTTATTGAATTGTTTTCTACAGAGTCAGAATGAGTTACAAATAAAACACATCTTTAGGGCAAAACAAATAAAGCCGATTTCCAGCAAGCCAGACAGCCAGGGAATTTTCAACAGAGGTGCCCAGGGGCTGAGGAAGAATGTCTCCCAGACAACACAAAAACTGTCCAATGAGGCTGTCCCATGCTGTTTTGACTGCATGGAGGCTGTATGCAGTAGCTCATGCCTGTAATCTCAACACTTTGGGATCGCTTGAGTCCAGGAGTTCAAGACCAGCCTGGACGACATAGGGAAACTCTATCTCTTGAGGAAAAAAAAAAACACCAAAATTAGTCGGGCAGGATGGCACAAAACTGTAGTCACAGCTACTCGGGAGACTGAGGCAAGAGGGTCACTTGAGTCTTGCCAAGTTGAAGCTGCAGTAAGCCATGATCACTCCAGCCTGGGAGAGAGAGCAAGACCCTGTCTCAAAAATTTATTATTTTTTTTAATGAATAAAGAGTATATGGGGTAAACAGAGAATACAGAAAAGATACATTTAAAAGGCCACCACTAATGGACATCTGAGAGCAGAAACTAGGCTCCAAGCTTACCCCAGAAGATCCAGGCAAGGGATCTATTTTTAGTGCTGAGGTCCAGCAAGGATACCCTACTTGGCTGGGTCACTGGAGTGGCTGGTGCTATTTAGGGATTCAAATCCAGGGCTGTCAGACCCCACAGACTGTACTCTTTGCATAGGTCTTTTCTTATTCTTGCTGTGAGTAGAGAAGGCAAGCAACTTGGAAAGCAAGATTGAAAGCTGGCAAAAGGAAACATTGCTTATTTACAATGTGCACACTTCTATCAATTTATGTTGTTGTCTCAGCAAATCCGTGGGGGAAGGAGTAGGGGGGACGATTACTCTGCATTTTTACCAATCAGAAAACTGAGGCTCAGAGAGTGTAAAAGCCTGCCACAGCCCAGACAGGACTATCAAATGAGAACATCCAAAGCAGTCCCAGAGCTGTCTAGGGCCTGGGGCTGTGCTCCTTTAGCAGCTTTAGTATTTCCTAAGCATCTCCTCTGAATGGTGACAATTCAAAGAATACACAAAGCCTGCCCTCAAGGAGTTTACAGACATGTAAGGTTGGAAGGAATCTCTAAAATAATCAGGTCCAACCTTATACTCACACTCTCTCCCTTCTATAAAAGCCCTAACAGGCAGAAGGCTTTGATGATGTGGCTGTCTTAGTCGCTTTGGGCAGATATAACAAATTACTAGAAACTTAAACAATACTGAAATCAGGGTGCCAGCACGCGTAGGGTCTGGTGAGGGTTGTCTTCTGAGTGGCAGATGGCTGGCTTCTTGTATTTTCACTTGACTTATAGAGAGCAAATTAGCTGTCTGGTCTCTTCTTAGAAGGGCACAAATCCCATTCATGGGGGTTCTGCCCTTATGACTTGATTACCTGCCAAAGGCCCCGCATCCATATACGATCATATTGAGGAACAAATTTAAACATAAATTTGGGAGGAAGATGAACATTCAGTTCATAACAAACTCTACCAGAAAATTCTCCAGTAAACTCAGCCAGAATCTGCTTCCCTGACAAATCCAATCAGGGGGTCTCAAAAATTAGGACCATGCTGGCCGAGGCATCTCATGCCTGTAATCCCAGCATTTTGGGAAGCCAAGGTGGGAGGATCGTTTGATCCCTGGAGCTTGAGATGAGCCCAAGTAACATGGTAAGACCCGATCTCTACACAAAATTTTAAAAATAGCCGGCATGGTGGTACACACCTGTAGTCCCAGCTACTTGGGATGCTGAGGTGAGAGAAGATTGCTTGAGCTCAGGAAGTGGAGGCTGTAGTGAGCTTGATCATGCCACTGCACTCCAGCCTTGGGGAGAGAGCGAGACTGTGTCTCAAAAACAAACAAAACCCCTTCACCTTATAAACAGACTGTTTCAGCCAGCTATAAACAACCACAGGTCTCCTCCCCTCAATGGCCCAAAGTCACACCACTAATGAGGGAGGAAGCTCCGATTCAACCTTAAGATAAGCACCAAAGCTCATTTTAAACCTCACAGCCCTCTGCAAGATAACTATACAGATGCTCCTGGATTTGTGATGGGTTGCTTCCCGATAAACCCATCTTAAAGTTGAAAAATTCTAAGTCGAGCCACCCTAAGTTAGGGACGCCTGCACCAAGCTTTCAAAGGTGAATGTAAAGTGGAAGAAGGGGTTCAGTGATTGAGCAGCTAGCCAGGATTCCACGTCAGGCCTTTCCGTGTTCAACAGCTGCTTTCAGAGGTGTGGAAGCCTCGGAGAGAGTCCCGAGGTAAGATGGGGTAAGATGGGCTGAGCGTCGCCGCCTTCTGCCTGGACACCAGCCTTGAGAGAAGAGAGGCGATAAGGTGCAAAGGAAGAAAGGCGGGGACGCCGCGGTGTCAGCCGAAGCGTGGGCTCCTTAAGGACAGGGTTTTGTCCGACTCGGCTCTGAATCCCCAGCGCCTACACAAGCTCTGACACAGAGTACACTCAGTAAACACAGAGTGAATCAGTTCATTCATTGAATGAACGAATGAATGAAACGCCAGAGCTCGCCACAGGGGTCCGCTGCCGCTCCACGGCCTCCTCTCACCGGCCAATCAACAACGTGGCTCGCCCGCCCCGCCCCCTGATGCCACGCCCATCACCCGCCCCTCTGGATTCCCTCCGGTTGCGTGGATATCCCGGAGCAGCGGATTTCCCCATGCGCTTCCAGTGGCAATGCGCATGCTCCAGGGCCAGCAGCGCAGAGGCATCATTTTCCCGCGGCGCCTAGGGGACGGATTGGAAAGCGATTGGCTTAGGGGACGGAAGCCGAGCTCCACCTGCCTGACGCCAGGTTCTTCTTGCCGAACCGAAGGTTCATTTTGGACAGCTCTTTCCCAATACCACTCCCACCCCGACGTCGATCCCAATCGGAACCTATCCTAAACAAGGCTGGAAAAAAAGAAGGGAGCGACCGGAAGTGACGCACGAGCGGAGCGGAAAAACAGAGGCCCAGCGCCTGTTGCCCTGGAAACCGAGCTCTCGGCTTGCGTCCCGCGTGCGTCACGACTCCGCTGGCCACGCCCCGCGCGCGGCCCCGAGACTCTGAGGCCCAGAGCGGGGACCAGAGCCGTGCGCTTGTGGCGGTGTCGCTGCGGGGCACGCTACGGGGCGGGGAGGAAATTTAGGGCCTGCCTTTTGTGTATCAGGTTGTTCAGCCCAGAAATATGTATTCAACCCCAGGCGCGTGCCTGGCATTGTGGAAGGTGACAGGTGGAGAGAATTGTGACTGGCTCAGATGTCACCCCCCCACACAGCCCAGTGGTGACTCC